ACTGTAGTACATGTATAGAATCAGTCAAATGTCTGTACATGCCTACTCATTTTTTATTACTATTATTTGAAAATGTGGAGAATAAAGTAGTTAAACTATGAAATAACATAAATGGAAGTATTATAATATTTTAATTATTAACTATTAAGAATTATTAATTACATTCATTTATTCAATATACATTTTTTTAATCATATAATTGTTATTAATAAAGAATCAAAACTTCTTACTTTCAAACTATTTCATGCTGGTACTGTATATTGCAATCAAATTAATTGTTATTTTTTTATTTAAGAATAAATCTTACCATTAGTTATAGTATCACTAGTGATTGGTTACGTGGACAAATCAAACCAGTTTGTCAGCTCTGAAGTCAAGTTTGCCACAGCAGTCAGCTCCATCATTCCTCTCTCGTATTACATCGGCATGGGCATTGCAAGGTGAGCAGTTACACCAGAACAACACCAGAACCTCACAAACACTTTTGACAGCAACACTGTTGTCATCTCTATTCTCAGTATTTCCGCTCAGAGTAACTTTGCTGTCGGGGCCGTGGTGAACGCTACGTTTGGCTCCATCACAGAGTTGACCTTTTACATCACAGCATTGCTCAGAGGTCATCACCAGGGGAATAAGTGCCTGCAGGAGATCATGAAGGAGGCTCTTACTGGAACCCTGCTGGGCTGCATCCTCTTCATACCAGTATGAGATCTGTTACACAACAGAGGATCTTAAATCTGTAAAGTGTGCAATGCATGACCATTATATTTGTGTGTGTCTCTCTCTCAGGGGATCTGTATGATAATCGGCGGGTTCAGGCACAGGGAGCAGAGGTTTAACAGTCGCTCGGCGGGGGTCAGCTCCTCTCTGCTCTTCATATCAATAGGGGGTAAGACGTCATGTGCTACGAGGTGGTAAAAATTAGCTTGTTATTGCGCTTCTCTCCTGCTGTAGTAATTAAAGACAATGTGAAATGACACTGTAAACACATCAAATAATGTGACAATTTTAAGTGAAACTCGTTAAGTAGGAAATAATATAGTGTGGGAATTGATTTTATATATAATGTAATATAATATAATATAATATAATAACATTTGAAAGAAGTATAATCCAAGTTAAAGAAGAAGACCCACCAGTGTCACCAAAAATTACTGTTTTCGAGCAGGTTTTATTGGCAAACATTGATTGGAAAAACTCTCTAAATATTTAAATGGGATATGAGGAAGCAAAAAGAAGCATTACATTTTGATGAAAATTTATGATTTTTTTTTTCTGTAGAATACTGTGAACAATATGACAGTCTGTTAAGATTAACATTATTTATAGTTTGACAGCATGAATGTATTAATTTATATACTAAATTAGATAATTTACATAATTTAATGTATGTATTATGAAGATTATTAATATTTTATTATAGAAGGTAAATAGAGTTGATTTTGATGTCATGTTGCACAATTCCTGGTACAAATAAATTGTGAAAATACATTATTTCATGAAACATATTACCAAAACACACAGTTGATCATCATTATTTATTTTTAATGGAACTAAAATAGTTTTAAAATTATTGTATTTACAAAATATAATTTACAGATGCATAAGTTAATTAATGCTCACAAATATTGAGTTTTAATTTAGCACTGTCTTAAAAAATGCCTGATGCACAAATCTTGTGAAAATACATTATTTTGTGAAATCGATTACCAAAAGATTGCATTCTTGCATTACAGTCGATCATCATTATTTATTTTCTATGGACCGAAAATAGTTTTAAAATTATTGTATTTACAAAATATAAATGCCAAATGCGTAAACTATTTAATATTCACAAATGTTCAAATAAAATGACTGGTACAAATATATTGTGAAAATACATTATTTCACATTATGTCTCAGCATTAATGTGTATACAAAACATAATTCACAAGTGTGTAAGCAGGTTTATATATTTGCACACAGCAATTCACAAACTCATAACCTAATCCAAATTCATCAAATATGATTTGCAAGTACACTACCAAATTTACATTCAGAAAATAAGATGTATAAATTTGGTTGTGCATTTACAAATCGCATTTTGTGAAAACTAATTAGATTACGAGTTTATGAAATGCTGTTTATATAATTTCATTTTTGAGTCATATTTTGTAAATAAGTACATTTTGAGACTATTTTATCTCCATAATTTTCCCCTGTGGTCTCCTGTGCCGTCTGTAGGAGTGTTTGCCCCTATGCTTTTCTCCAAAGCCTATGGGAATCTGGTGTGAGGACTGTACCAACTCTACAGTGACCAACAGCAGCGGATCCTTCATGTGCAAAAACTGCCACTACGACTTGGTGAGATTACAAACAAGCATCATATAAACGTGAAAACATGACACACATCGAGCCATTTTCTGCACATTTCTAGAGTTGTTTTTTCTTTCTGTTTCACTAGAGTGAAAACAGCTACAGCCTGTTTCACAGTCATGTTGAGTAAGTTCACAGTGTGAACACTTTCATTTTGTCTACTCAATACTCACAGTTCTAGGGTGTAGAGATTAAAATAGGATTCATTTAAGAATAATAGAAGTCAGTTGGAGGTCTCTAACATGATATAAAACACAACGTGTGTGTGTGTGTGTGTGTGTGTACACACGGCAGGTCATCTCGGAGCGTCAATGCATTGGTCCCAATGGAGAGCTTTGCTTATCCTCATCGTTGCCACAGTGCTGATGTCTGCATGTGCCAACCTGACCACCGAACACATCCAACCCATTCTCAGCCGCTCATCTATATCACAGGTTGATAATGCAGTAAATCAGTCAATACTGATGTATTTCTGTATGTATGATCTGACCCTATTCTTCATCTCAGTATTTCATAGATGTGACTCTTTTGGCCATGGTCCCTGAAATCCCAGAAATAGTCAATGGAGTGCAGTTTGCTCTGCAGAATACAATCAGTTTGAGGTTGGTAATAATGGACAACAATTTTTGTCTCATTAATTCAACCTCAGGTTTATTTCACTGAAGGTGTTTTCTACTGAAAATGCACACATTTTGACATTTTTGGAGGTTGGAAGCTGCATTGCCGTGCAGGTGTGCATGATTCAGATCACCATCCTGGTTTTATTCACCATCTTCTATGTGAGTGGTTTTGGATATGCTTTTTTGATGCAGACATACTACAGATATTTAGTGGCAGCTGTATCAGTGTGTTTTCCTTCTAATCTTTCTGTGACAGGATGTTGGCTTTGTAGTCATCTTCAGCGACCTGCACCTGTGGGCCAGCATCTTTAGTGTCATCCTTGTGAATTATATTTTTATGGATGGAAAGTCTGATTACTTTCAAGGTAAATGCTAAATATTATCTAAACCAGGGGTTAGTAATCTTACCTAAAAGTATGTCATCCAGCACTGACACTTTGTGACAAAATGTTGCAGACTTGTGCTCAAAAACTACAACACTATTCAAACGTTTGGGATCAATAAAAAAATAAAATAATCAAGGATGCATTAAATTGGCAGTAAATATTTTTATAATGTTCCAAACAATTCTATTGCAAATAAAATGCTGTTCTTTTTAAATTTCCATTAATCAAAGAATTCTAAATAAAATGTATCATAGTTTCCCACAACTGTCAACATTACAAGCATATTAGTATGACTTCTGAAGGATCATGTGACTGAAGACTGGAGTAATGACTGCTGAAAATTCAGCTTTACCATCACAGGAATAAATTACATTTAAAATGAGACGCACAATGTTTTTTTTGGATTGTACAGAATGAATAGTTAAAGCTATTTTATTATGAAACATATTCCCCCGGTTTCACAGACAAGGCTTAAGCCTAGTCCCAGACTAAAGTGTAAATCTGAGCTGTTTTAACTGAAAGAAACTTGCACTGACTGATCTTAAAATATCAGTGCCTTTGTTTTGTCTAGATGCACACCAGTAATGTTTTTTCTAAGGCATGTTAATAAAAATTACTTAAATGTCCTAATTGAACTATGGCCTAGTCCTAGCTTAGTCTAAACCCTGTCTGTGAAACCGGGCCATTTGGTATTTTGCAAAAAGAGTCCAGTTTTCGAGTGTTTCTTGATGTGTTGGTAGTCTCTGATGGTTCATAATTACTTGAGCTTCATGTTTTTGAAATCATGCAGTTGAAGTCTTAATATAGATGCCGTTGTTTGAAGATGTTATTTGTAAAGTGAACATTTTCATCTGTTGCGCTGACCTGTTTGTTTCTTACTGTCTATATTAAAATATGTAGTAATATGTAGTAAAATATGAGTAAATAACTGTCTAAAAAGTATATTTGAGCTATAACTGTTTTAACAAGACTTAATTATTTTCTAAATTTTTCTGATTGAAATATATCTTATATATTTATACATGAAATTTAAGATAAATCTCTGGTCAATCTCTGTGGGCAAAACATACAATAAAAATGATAAAATTAACAGACAAACAAAAAAATTGATTTTAGTTCTCATTGCTTAATCAACTTATACATGGTTAAAAAGTATCTATTTCACATTTTATTAGTCATATCAATTATTTTTCATCATATAATCGGAAAATTAAATCAAAGAACACAAAATGCTCAATCTTTATTTTAGTTTTTTTGTTTTTTTCAGAGGTCAAGGCTGAACATTGTCTTACAAAATATAATGTAATGGAATAGGCTACACTGTATTTAAATGTTACCAAAATGCAGCTGTTTACAAACATTATTCATAACATCGGTTTCATTTTATTAACAGTCTTAGCATTTCTTAAGATTTAAGACAGCATCATCTAATTCAATTTGTGGCCAACAGCATACAACAACACAACACAAATAAACTGATCAGGGGCCTGTTCCATAAAACAAGTTTACCAAATAAGCCAGGCTTATTTCAGTTAGTCTGACTTATTTTGAACCAAATCAACTGACAAGAAGTCAGAATAACTGAAATAAACCTGGCTTATTTGGTAAACTTGTTTTTATGAAACAGGCCCCTGATGTAGTGTTTGGCATAGTGGGATCTCAGCTCTGACAACCCCACAAGTATACATATAGACTCTATGAAAGTGTAAAAAACGCTTTCCATTTTGTCTTCAGATTGTGGAATTCTGTGCGGAACTGAGGGTTGACCGCGGCATAGATGATCGGGTTGGTGAGGGATGTCATGCAGACCAAAGACACTGTTAAAATCTCCAGCTCCCGAAAAACCTCCACCTGAAATACATTAAATGCGGGTGCCAAGACATCATAAACTTCGGCAATTGTATGAAAACCATTAGACTTGACAATATTACCAATACACTGCACACAAGCAAATAAAAAAATACTAGGTTATGTAATCAATAATTAGTATTTATTGATCTATAAGTTTTTTTATTAAATAATTTATTATCTAAAATTAATACATCCTTAAAACAAGATACATTTACTTCATACACAAGACACTAAGACTTAAATATATCACCCATAATTAAGTTCATTTTATTTTTCTCGTTTTAAATATAAATGTGGCTACATTTAATTAGATTTATGCTTTAAACAAGAAAAAAAAGCATTATCATGTTTTATTCATTTATTTCATTATTTTATTTATTTATTTATTTATTTTTTATTTGTGGTGTGAATGGTAAATGTTAAAGAGCTAATCTGGTTGAACGAGGCATAGAAACTGTTTTCTCCTACGTTAAAAATTGATACAAATCAGTAAAAAGAAGCTTGAAGTTTTAGCTTGAAACCTACTGTTAGATTGTCGTTTTGGTAAAAGAAGTGATTTAAAACCACTGTCGCAATCAGCGGGATCCAAAATATGAGGAAGGTGAAGATGATGTATCCGGAGCGCTTGGCCAGTTTGCTCTCCTTCTTGGCGTTTCCTCGTTCTCTTTGGGCGAGAGATGGCATCATACAGATGGCACCTGCCACCTCCTCCTCCTGTGGAGCAGCTGTGGCTTCTCCGGTCGATGCTGGAGAAGTTTCTGCAGCAGTTTCTTGAGGAACGCTTTGCTTATCAGCACCTTTATCTCCATTTCCTGATGTTGGAGACGTATCTTGTGAAGTGCTTGACTCAACAGTACCATCTTCTTCAGTAGCTGATGGAGGAAAAGTTCCTAAAGTATTATGTAGTTGGCCATTTGGGTCTTCCTCGCCATCTTCTCCTTTTACTGATGACTGAGAACTTTCTGCAGCAACATCTTGCTGGACATTTGGTACCACACCCTCCTCACTGGTTGATTGGCGGGTGCTTGACTCTGTCGCACCATCTTCTTCATTAGTTAATGGAGAAGAATTTTCTTCAGAAGTAGGTTGGTGGTCGTTTGGCTCTCCAAGAACTTCTAGAACCTGTGGTGCTTCATTGGAAAGTTCATCTATAAAGGTGACTTTGGTTTCTTTTGATATTTCAGTGGCAAGCTCTGGTTTGTTTATATCCAACGAGTCAGTGCCAACTGTTGTGGTAAGTTCCTCAGATGTTGGATGCAAATCCAGTGGATTCTCTTCACGTGACTCTTTTTCATTCGGTTTTAAATGATCACTATCGAATGTTTGTTGTTTTTCTGCATCATTTTTAATATCAGTCTTTTTTTCTTCTTTTTTGTGCTTTGTATCCTCTTTCTTCTTATCCGGTGGTGGAAGCGAACCCTTATCGAATATTTTCCGACCGTGCGCTCTGACTAAAAGGAAAATACGGCCGTAGAATCCAATGATGACCGTCAAACAGACGCACCAGATGGGAGTCAAAATGTAAACTCCAAACGTGTCGTGTCCTAACTTGTCAATGCGCAAACCTCTGCATCTGACGTACACCGGCGAGTCTTTCGCAAAAATCACGCAAATGACCGATATGGAGATGGGAAGAAGCCATGTCAACGCAATCCACACCGTTATCCGTTTTCGGCGCTCGGCATTTTTAAACGGATGTGCAATGGCTTGATATCGCTCGGCGCTGATGCACGCCAGTGTGAGCAACTGCACGCAACAGATGAGGGAAAACGACGCGATCTGCGCGCTGCAGAAAAGCACACCGAGGTCGCGAGCGCTCAAAACAACACTGAGAAGCAATGGACAATCAATGGCGCATCGCAAGATGTCAATAACGGCCAGATTCACCAGGAGAGCGTTGTTGGACGTCTGGAGTGACTTCTGGTGGTGCACGGCCCACGCCACGAACAAGTTTGCCAGAAATCCAACCTGCAAAGTGACCAGCAAAACCAGACAACTGGCAGCTACAAACGCAACTTCTATAGTGTCTTGCCATGCGCTGTTCACTTGTCCCCAAACAATGGTGAAATTACTTCTCATCTCTAGTCAATTAACAACAAATTCCATATTGATTTTCAGGAATAAAGTCGCACCTTTCACTCCATATCTGGTCTTCTGCTTTTTGAGAGCCTGTAGTAATAAACCCCTTTATTTTATCCCTCATCATCACTATGGTTCTCCATTTGTTTGCGTTTTTCAATTAACACCCTGCAGGGCTCATGGTCACCGGGGAGGCTTTTTTTTGTTTTAGGCAATTTGCTAGTTCGTAGTGCTCCAGACTGGAACAATGCCAATTACAGCGCAAGGGGGGATTTTAATGATTTTCCCCTTTATTTCTGCCACTGAGATTTTTTATTTATTTAAACAAAATCTCAAATTCTAATTTAAATAATAAAAAAAAATTTATTCTAATTTTAAAAAGGCTTTATTTCGAATAATAGAATAAGTCATAATTAGAACTGATCTTTCATTAAAGATGCAGTTTATGCTCTTGTTGTCATAGCGATCAGTAATCTTATTTTGAGGAGATTAATTTGGGAAAGGCTTTACTGTAAATCTGGGATTAAGATGCTCACTTTTTATTTTGTATAATGGTTTTAATTTATTTAGATTTTTAACATTTGATTTTGTAACTGATTAACCGATAAATAAAAATAACAGATAAATGGTGTGTATTAAAATGTCAATATAAGGATATTCATTTTGAGATTTTCTAAAGATTACATTTTAATAGTGTTATTAGTGTTTTTAAAGATAATAAACTATAGTTGAGAATTAAATTAAGGCAAAGGTCATCAATTTACAAATAGTGTGAGCATGAACAATTTATATTTAGCCTACAGACACAGATTAATTTAAAAAAATAATATTATTAACTGATATGACACCGATATATTTTGCATCCCATAATATACAGTGAAAAAGTGAAAGTGAAGTGTAGCCAAGTATACTCGGAATTTGTGCTCTGCATTTAACCCATCCAAGTGCACACACACTGTAATGAGAAGTGAAACACACACACACCCAGAGCAGTGGGCAGCCAATGCTGCGGCGCCCGGGGAGCAGTTGGGGGTTCGGTGCCTTGCTCAAGGGTCTCACCTGACCTCAGTCGTGGTATTGAAGGTGGAGAGAGTGCTGGATATTCACTCCCCCCCACCTACAATCCCTGCCGGACCTGAGACTCGAACCCGCAACCTTCAGATTACAAATCCGACTCGCTATCCATTAGGCCACGACTGCCCCACAATACTGTTCAATACTGTTTTTTCAAAGAAATCTCTTATCACCAAGGCTCTATTTATTTGTGCAAAAATCATGTAAAAACAGTAATATCATGAAAGATTATAACAATTTAAAATAAACAATATATTCATGTGATGGTAAAGCTGAATTTTCAGTCTTCAGTGTCACATGATCAAATCACTCCAATATACTGATTTCCTGCTCAAGAAATATTTCTTATTATTACGAATGTTGAAGACAGTTTTGTTGCTTAATATTTTTGTGGAAATCATGATAATTTGATGAATAGGAATTTGAAATGAAAATCTTTTGTAACATTATAAGTGGTCATTTTTGATCAATTTAATGTGTCCTTGCTGAATAGGATTCATTTCTTAGAAAAAAAAAATCCACCACTAACTTATAAGTAATACAAGCAGTAATACACAATGATTCACACTGACAGACCTCAGATCAGACCGGATTAATCTTGCTTTGGCTCTTCTGTGCTGAGCACATCATTAGACCACCACCAGTGTGACGAGGGATGTATCGCCCACAGGACAGGATTTCCAGAGACGACTCTCGAAACTGGACAAACATAGCTCAGAGAAAGATTGTAGCATTTCATTGTGCAATAGGCCTAATATATCATACTATAAACAAACATGAATGAATACACTCTGTCACAGTAAACACACCCGTTTGTTAGTAAGGAAGTAGATGATGGGATTGTAGACGGGGCTGGTCTTGGCAAAGTACATCGGCATGGTGGCCACCAGAGGCGGGATGTAGATCTCTGGATCCACAACTACAACCACAGAGATGGCGGTGTAGGGCAGCCAGCAGATGAAGAAGGCGGTGATCATGGCCAGGACCATCCGTACCGCATGCTCGTTTTCCTCAAGACAGTTCTTCCCCCCTTGGAGTTCAATGCTTTTGTTGATCTGAAATTATGCAATGTCATTTGCATTGATATACCAAATGAGTCTTTGTTATTTCTCAGAACGAGTCGCCTACCTTCCTCAAGGACACGAGCACGTTGCTGTAGCAATACACAATGACAGCGGTGGGCAGTATGAAGCACAGGAGCGTGTAGAAGATGAGGTAGCTGTAGTTGCTCCAGGATCTCTCCTCCCAGCCTAACGAGCAGGACGTCTGGACGCCCTCCGGCCCGTACGAGCTCCAGCCCAGCAGAGGAGCGACCGCCCAGAAGAAGCAATAGAGCCAGACGAACAGCAGGCCCTGGCAGCTCCTGCGGACGTTCAGCTTGAAGCCTGCCATGGGTTTGCAGACCACGTTGTACCGCTCGTATGCCAGCAAAGTGAGAATGCACAAAGACACCAGGCCTAGAAAGAAAGACATTCATGTTTGTCTAAAATATATGTTTTATTGCTTTGCCTGTGCAGCAGTAGTTAAGAGTTTCAAGATTAGGCTATAGTCACAAAAAATGTTATGTGTCAGTTTGATAGTTTATGTGTCTGAAATCTAAAACTGGTCAGAAATTGAGATTAATCAGCATTTTATTATAATTTAAATATTTATATTTTAATCATTTATAGGTATTAGTAGAGATAAAATAATCATAGCAGCCAAATAATGTCACAATACTATCCTTAACATAAAAGTAAATTATTTAATGTTGTTTTAAATATATATGTATTAATATTAGATTTGAGTATTTTTAGTATTAAACATTTAATATTTTTAACATTAAATTTTTAAATGCTGTATTAAACCTTTAAACTTTGTTGTATTAAATACTTGTTGTATAAAAAATTTCTCACACATTTTAAAAGCGATTTCCACATGAAAATAATAGCTTTAATATAAAAAACATTTTTAAATGTTATATTTAAACTACATAAATATAAATATGCAATATTTTTAGTATTGAACATTTAATATAAATATAT